AATTATGAAAAATAATATGTTGAAATGAATTTAAATCATCATGGCCACATTTAGTTTATGTATTTATTAATTAGCTAAATTTCATCTTAAAAATACATATGAAACATCGATGATATACACTGAATTTCGAGTGCATAAAATACGTTATTGTAACTTTTAAATGATTACGGAATCATTTGAAAATCTTAATAAATAGTTTGTACATGTTAGTTGTTACAAAAGGATGCTTACAAATTTTGATGCGGTGCTAACAAATAACAAATTATTTATAAGGATCATGGTGCATCATAGACGTGTTCATATAAACTTACATTCTAATATATAAGATACATTATGGATTGTACATAAATAAAAATAAAACTCTACTACTCTAATTATTTATTCTCCACTCATCAAATCACTAAATTATAAAAGTTTCTTCATCACTAAATTATAAAAGTTTCTTATTCGTTCTCAACTTTGAGAATGATATATCCATTCTATAAAAATTTTAAACATGAAAACACGTTAGTGTTATTTTGAAATATATTTTGACGCCAGGGGTACTTTTACATTACTGTACGCTTGTCGAGTTTTGTTATATAGATCATGAATTAACCGATTTTTGTAGCATGATACTTCACCCTAACCTCTAATGAGTGAACCATAGTCCCAACTTCTCTAACCCAAACCATAAAATTCATTTAATCTAAAAAAATAATCAACAAATTTGATTTTTCGAAATCTATCATAGTACAAATAATAAATATAAATGTGGGCATATAGTATGGCACCTTTATATATACAACCATGCATAAATAATTCTAATAAATATAACATACCATAAAAAAACTGCTAGTAATAACAATAGATATAAACATAATATTCTTGTCTACACACTAATTTATAGAGATTCAGCATGATGAGTGGGTTAAAACAAAAATTGGAGCCTCTATCTTATCTCACAGAAGGCTAAATGTGTCTTTCCATCTTACTAAATTTTTTTGTTTATTTTATAATCACTCATTTTATTTATTCGTTCATGGAGGTTGGACTCTTTTTTCTTTTAATTTGTTTCTAGCATTTTATTTTTACATAGTTATTAATATTATTATGGCAATTAAATCTAAACTAAGTACATCTTATATGTGGTTTCTCGTTGGTCAACAAAAATAATGTTTCTAGCATTTTATTTTTACATATGACTATTACTATGACAATCTAAAAGAATTTGCTACAATGAATTTATCTAAACTCTAAGTAAAACTTACATATAGTTCGTCAAGTAGATCTTTGTAGTTGATCAACAAAATCAGTAAAGGTGACACCTATATTAAACAGGTCAATCTATACACCATATTGGTGGATGTAAACAAGTGTAATGTCTACCATTTGATATTTAAACATACCTTCAACTCATATAAAATTCATTGCTACAAATTTCATTTGTATAGGCATGTTTCCCTGAAACATTCAATCTAATGAGAAATGTGATCGACTCACACAAAACATATCACATACTAGCACTATTTTAATCAACCTTATCGATCAATAGGTCGATCAAAGTTTTTTGCTAGACTCTAAATAAATAAATTTTATTTGGAGTTTGACCAAATCATCATAGACATGCCCGACTGAAAATATAAACGTTTTGTTTGGTAACTCTAGCCATAAGCAAATTTTTTTCCAATCACGTTCAAATTAAATTTAAAAGTTTTTAGTGATCATTAGATGAACGTTTATTTGTGCATGTAACATGTAGCAAGAACTAAGATAGTATGAGCACAAATTTAGGAATATGTTTTCTTTTTAATTTGAGCAAAAAGGGCGTTTCACATTTTTTGTAAATATAATACCATTAAATTCTTGATTGCAAGGATATCTAGGAGAAGAAGTAATAGTCTTTTAATAATGATCAAGCCATCAAGGTTGTGCATTCGGTAATAGAGATAAGATGCGGTGGATAATAAAGGAGGGATAATTATTAGTGAGAAATAACAAATATCATATATTTGCTTTTAGTGGAATGTAGAAGAGGAAGGAAGACACTATTATTGGTGAGGATAGTAATGATAATGATGAAGCAATCGCAAAATCCAAAACAAAATATGCAGTAATTTCTAATTGGAGTGTGATTTGGATGAATTTTTTAGAGTTGATTCTCTTGCATGACTTTAGTTGATGAATCTCAATTAGGATGTCAGAAAAATTTATGATCCATTTTCAATTTATGATCCACGTTATTTTTATTTTTCCAATATTTAAAAATTACTGTTTTATAATCACAAATGAAAATGTATTTTGCTTCACAAAATTATTATTGTTATATATATCATGATAAACGTATCCGGCCAACTGGTCGGCGGGTCTGAATCTAGTTCTTGTACATATAAAAGCAAGGTTTTTGGGCAGAGAATCGTTGACAGGCTGACACCTGTTCAAAGAACCGGAAATGCCCCTACTATTTTCCCATGCATTACAAGTTTGTAAAAATAAAAGGTAAATACAATATATTAGTCACAACTATTATGAAGCGGGGAATTATAGTCACAACTATGAAAATTTAAATTATTAGTCATAACTATTGTTGCGGGTCAAGATATGGCTAACTGTCCGTTACTGTTATTGAATTTTTAACGAAGAAGGCCACGTCATCGACCACGACAGCAGTCACGTCGGACTGCTTTTAATTTATAACTTTAAAATATAAAAGTTTAGTTAGTATTACTATCGGAATTGTTAACAAATAGTTAACATTTGGCTAATAATTTGAATTTCCATAGTTGTGGCTATAATTCCCCGCTTCATAATAATTGTGAATAATATATTGTATTTAATATTTACCCAAAATAAAATAATGAAGGTTGTTTTTTAGTAGAACATGGGGTGAGAGACGGCTCAAACTCTCGACCTCAGGATCACTCTTTGGCTATGAGGCCTACGCGCTAACCAACTGAGCCACCACCCCTCAATGTCCTAAAATGTCGTAGTTTTAATGTATTTTACTGTTCTTGCTTTTTCTTATGAGAGCCAAAGTACCATGCTTGGAAACATCCCATAACGTTGTACATAAAAGATCTAGCTAAAAATTCAATTTGTAACATAAGGTTAAGATACATATTGAGTTTGTTCCGTAAAAAAGTTTGTACCAAGATTCAAGAGATATATATACAAGCTCAATTTATAATGTAACTTTAAAGGTACAAGTTTAGTTTATACTATAAAGATTAAAAAAAAAAACAAAAGCGTTGATCCTACCAAACTTTGCAAATTCCTCTTCATATGAAACTCTAAATCGATGGACTACATACTCTTCTCCACCATTGGGATCCTTTCTGTCCAGACGACATTGGCAGACATCTGATTTTATTAGATGGATCTGAGTCCAATCGTTCCATCAATGGTCCTTGGATTTCAGAAGGGGCTTTGCATGTAATCGAGATACAACGAATGTAGGATTTCTGCGACTATGATTGTTTGGAAGCTGGATGAGAAAAAATGAGATGGTTGGAGGAAACAACATGAAGGTTAAGAATTTACCTGGTGTGAGATGTCATATTGTTCGAGGAACACTAGATGCTGAAAATGTATGTGGAATTGTGAAAAGAAATTTTCAAAACAAGAAATATTTTTGGATATAAGGAGTTTGGAGTATAACGATGTGCCAAGTATTTGTCAATCTTTTTAGCTATGGATTAGGTTGTCATTGAACTTATGCATACGCTTGATCCATTCATTTTTTTCATAATTTTACTCATTATAGGGATGCACAAATTCACAAATTTGCATGAGTTTCTAGCAAAATTTGTTTACTACATCACGATTGATCTAGCAAATTTTTGTTAAGTTCTATTACCTGATTCAAAATGAAATTGACCAATTACTCGATTCGAGTAAATTCGACGGAGTTTGATTCCATAACTGTATTGCTCATAAATGTATGATACTACTTTTGATTTTTCAACTGATGTAACACCAAGCGATGGCACCAAAATGAAAAAAAAAAAAAGGAACACATTGATTTGTGTATGATCCTGATAAATCTCTTTACATGGGACAAGACATTAGGTTTTTAGGTATGGACAACCGACAACAACAACAGTAACGACATGATAGTATCTTCCATCAATCTCACAATTTTAAGTAAGAGTATGTTTTTTTTTGTTGTTGATGAAAAATACTAGCGATTTGAGTAACTATGGAATAGACACAAGATGGAACGGATCAAATTCGACGGGACAGGTTGAGGAGAGAGGAGAGCAGCGGCGGATCCAGGGGGCCGTCCCCGGGCCACGGCACAGCCCTTCCCAGATTCAAAGCTCGTATAATACATGTAAATTTTCGATTTTGGGTATATATTTTAATGTTTATAGGATTACGGTCCAATCTTTTCCACCGCTTTTTAAATGCGGCCCAGTGCTCTAACCTGTTCTGGATCCGTCGCTGGAGGGGAGGGAAGGATGACCTATTCTTCTCGAGCCAGTTCGACATCTTTTGATGTGATTATTCATAACATACTACATCGAAGGCGCTCAGTAAAGATGATGATAAACCAATAATATCAACAATAGGAGGACAATATTGAGACGCATGCTTCTTCCACCACCTCGTCAACGAACTAGATCAAACATGTCAGATTTGAGATTGTAATACATAAGCAATATTAACAGTAGGATGACAACATTGAGAATCTCGATTGGAATCCTATCTATTGAAAATGTATTTAAGTAATCTAGTTATTCCAATGATTAGCCTTTAAAGCTGAGCCTTCTCAAGAACAACTTTTTTTTTAGCTTAACCATACCAATAATTTAACCGAGAGAATGTACAACTCTTTTGCTTTTTAGTTTTTAGTTAAGCACAAAAAGAATGCTCCATCCAACTCCACACAAAAAAAAGTACCTGACTTGAAAAAAGCTTCTCACCCGCTCTTATCAGAGACTGCGAGTGCTCATTTTCATCCTTTTGCAGAATCAAAAGTTGACTGTGAAAGCAATAGCAAAAAGGACAGTAAAGCTCTTATTCATTAAAATCACCACATGGTTGGTATATGGTAACAATAACATCATCAAACCTTCTGTTGAAGTAAATGCTATACAACACCCATACAAGTTTCAAAGATCACTACTAAATAGATGTAACAATTTGTGTACAATGTTCATTCATCACTCATCAAAGGATGTCACATATTGCAGTAGAACAGGTAGATACCTGTGTGATTTCACCTGACTCGAGAACTGAATTGATCGATGACCATTTCGAGTAATCGTAAAAGCTCCACTAATTATTAGTAAATGAATGTTGGCTATCAAGGACCTACATTGCAACCTCTTCCTAGCTAGGCTCTATCCATCAACTGATCAAAGTTTAAACCACGGACGAAGCTGACTTTGATCATAAACCAGCAGCGGCCTGGGAATCACCCTGATGTGATCTGTCTGGATGCCATTTCAGTGCTGACTCTCGAAACCTGCAAAACAAAGCACCAGAGAAGAAAAGTATTTGAAGACGTGATTCAGTGTCTCTCAAAGATGTGATTTTAAGGCCAAGGGCTTACTCGTTCTTCACTTCTTCGATCTCCAGAGGGCCGGACAAGGGCAAACCGAGGGTGCTTCTGTCGGAAAATGATCCGACAACGATAGCCAACATTATGGTATTCTTCATCAATTAGTTACACTTAAAATTTGACTTGTCGAAATGAAATGATTGTGAAAAAATTTATCAACGAACATCGCTCTCAAAACTAAACCAGCTCATCAGAATAACCTACAAATGGATTTCATGAACCTAAACTATCCTCAATTGAGTTCCATTCCCCAACGGATATAGTAGGATCTAATTTATTTCCCACTTTATGTTTGGTGAATGGTGACTAACAAACATTAGGAGAAAGAGGCAAAAACCATTTTCAAATTTTTTCAATCCAGAAATTAGAGTTACAAACCCGGACATAACTTACACTTTCCTTATTAAAACAACCACGGGCTCATCCCCACTTCGGCCCATACACAAGCACAGGTCCAAACCCAACAACAACTTGGGAACCTTGGCACCTTGTTTGATGGGAGAGGAATCTGTGGGGGGCTCCTTGCTGGCGGCTTGGTTGATCGATTTGAAGCACCCGCCACCACAGTAGCAAACTTCACCGAGTTAAGGATCCCAACGTTGCTGTATGGCACATTTGGCAAAACATCACAACTTCTAAACATACTGTTGGTATTTGATGGGTTCGGAACAAGTGGTGATGGTGCACTTATCACCACTGTCGTTTCAGCCAATATAGTAGGCCAGCTGAGAGGGGATCACCCTGCAGTTTGGTAGCGGCAGCAATACTTGAGGGTATCGAGTCTGTGAAGGGATTGGTTGGCCCCCTTGATGATCGGGTTCTTCCCCTTGCGAGGATGGATATCTGTGTTTGCCATGAGCTAGAGTAATGAACTAAAGACTCATCCTTGCGATGGAAGAACTCAGTCAGCAAGGGACCAACTAATCCCTCACAGGCGCAATACCCCCAAGTACTGTTGTCACTACCCAACCGTAGGGTGAGCCCCCTCTCAACTGGCCTACTAAATTAAATCAGCTAAAACTACAGTGGTGATAAGTGCATCATCAACACTTATTACAAACCCATCAAACACCATCAACAATATGCTTATAGCTTTTTTAAGTTTCGCCAAATATGCCATACCACATCAATGTGGCCGGGATCCTTAACATGGTGAAGGTTGCTGCTGTGGTGGCAGGTGCTTCAAATTAGGGATGGCAATGGGTCGGGTTGGGTCGGGTTTTGCCAAACCCAAACCCATGGGTTTATCTTTGGAAAAAAAACCCGGGGTAAAACCCACTGGGTTTGAAAAACTCAAACCCAACCCAACCCGTTGGGTATCCGCGGGTTCATGGGTACCCACGGGTTTTGTCGTAAAAAATTTACAATTACAAGTTATTATCAAAATTAAAGTCAAATATCAATCTCTCAATACAAATTATCCATATATAAAACACCATTCTAGAAAATTCAAGCAAATCACAAATTAACTATACAAATTGTTCAACACCAATCTAGAAAACTCAAAAAAATTGAAGCAAATCACAAATTTTCCATAAATAACATGTTTAATTGAAAGCTTCTTCCTTTCAATTAAGTTTCTTTACTCTCCACTCCATAACATCAACTTGATTCTACACAATTAAAAAGAAAAAATTAGACATGTCTCCACAAACATAAATAAGATTAGTTGTTTAGAATATTAAATATACCGAAAAAATTAATTATATGGGTGGGCGGGTACCCACGGGCCGGGTTTACCTAAACCCAAACCCAACCCAACCCGTTGAATAGTGAACGGGTTTAAACCCAAACCCGGCCCAAAACCCGTCAACACGGATTTTACCCGCGTTGACCGGGTTGGGTCGGGTGGGTACCCGTGGGTTCGGGTTTTGTTGCCATCCCTACTTCAAATCGATCAAACCAGCAGCCAACAAGGATCCCCACACAGATTCTTATAATTGTCGAAAACAAATTGATTTCATGTGCTTAATGTGATTATTTCATGATACGTTTGAGACATATAAAGCTCGTTTTAATGCCAATTGACTCTGAAATGGTTATAAAACCATTACCGCCATGTGTTAGTATTGTGATATATTTTAGGTGGAAAAGCAAAAGAGGATGTGATTACCGAACCTAACCGAACCAACCGAATTCAAACCGAACCGAAACCGAGTAACATTAATTCGGTTCGGAATTCGGAAGAGAAAAGGTATATTTCGGAAACCAAGGTCCTTTCGACCGAACCGAATTTCCGAATTCCGAACCGAATTTCCGAATTACTGTAATTGCAAGTTCCAAATGGTGGATTTTTATGTTTGTACTTATTATGAGACTTAAATATTTGAAGTATGTTAGTGTTTTATGACTTATGTGTTGAAATGTTTGATTTTATCATTGATGATGCATTTAATTGCATATTTATTGTTTACATTAGGGGTAAAAAATAATTTAAAAGAGAAAAAATACAAGCTAACCTCACAAGTTCGGTTTTTCATACAAAACCGAACCGAACCGAATTATAATTCGGTTTGAACCGACCGAACCGAATTATAATTCGGTTCGAATTCGGTTTGAGGTTTGATGGAACTCGGAAATCCGGTATACATTATTTCGGTTCGGTTTGAACCGAACCGACCGAATGCCCACCCCTAGATGGAAGCATATACAGATGGGAAAGAGCACAAAGTGGACTATTAGAAAGGCCACTGTTTGATTAAACTTGGACAGGTGACGGGAGGAAGTTCTGCCTGGGCAAGTTAACAATGGGCCAAAGGCCCATTCTTTTTCTTCCGTAGCAAAGCACGAAGTGATTTGGACCAAAGGCAAAGCAGCTCGGCAGAGGGGCATTCTTTTGATTTTCTGTCCCAGCTTCTTTGTCTTTTAGTGGGGAATTCTTGGAACATCTTCTAATTGGAGAAGCAGCAGCGTTTTGGACGGGAGGGATGAAATAATTGGAGAATTGGACACAAGGTTGGCTGGGGCTGGGGAGGAATCTCGCGCGGAGACAGCACATTGGAGCTTGCAAGCGACTGGAGAGCATCGAGAGCCGAGGGAGTAGCGCAAGCAGCGGACTGACAGCCATCGCCGAGATTATTGATTCTTGATCGCGATCACTTGCAGGTTATAATTCCCTTCTCTCTTTTATTTTGATTAGTTTCATTGTCATTAAGAACATGATTGTGTGTTTTATTTTCGTCATGAACTAAACCCCAATTTCTGGGGGAAACACCATTGGATGTAGCTATTTCTAGACTTGATGGATTGATTCATATTTCTCTTCTTCCAATCTCTATTGCATGGAATTGCTTAAAGCTTTGTGTTGACTGGCCATCAATACATTGATTTGTAGTTAATTAGGTTATTAGCGACAGTGAAACCCTAATGACTGAACATATTTCATGTGACATAGTAACTTATCGAAGCGACAGTGGATTAAATAAGGTACTATGCGGTCTTGATTGAGATATCGTTCTTCGGGCTAAATAGTTAATTCATTGAGCTACGACATTAGGATTTGAATTAATTGTTTAGTACGTAATAATTCCCGACAGTGATAGCTAGCACATTCATGATATCCTGGTTGTAGAGAGTTGGATTAAACTGATTGGAATATGTGAATTAATCTTGATATGATAGGAAGTGAGTCCCGGTGTTTCTCCCAGAGCTTTCTCCCATTGAATTTCTCCTGACAAGTTTACTTTGCTTAATTAGTTTATTTTGTTTTGCGTTTAGATAATTAGTCTCATTTCACCATTTTCACCTATAGTTTTCTCTATAAATTGATAGAATATAAGGTTGTACCAGTCCCTGAGAGACGATACCCGGACTTTCCGGTTACTACGAGATAGGAATTAAAAATATACGTTTTTGCCCTACCAAGTTTTTGACACCCTCTCACATTAAACCAGGTGGCAAAGTTGCCATCGGAAGCTAGTTACATAAACTCCTCACCCATGGCTGCAAATTCCCAAGTCCGAAGGTGTTACTCTATTGCTCTCATTGTTGAGAGACCTGAGAGGATGATGGGAAGTTGAAAGAAGAAATGAAGGGGAAGTTGAAGAAGATGGGGGTTTTGGTGTAGGAAAGGAAATTAAGAAAGCAACGGAGAATAGAGGTTTCACACTTAAGAGGGGAACTTGGGATTTTTTTAGTAGAAACGGAAGCAGTTGAGTCTTCATTGAGAGCAGTGGAACTTAGTAGCCACGTATCACACCTGCCATATTTATATCTCTAAATTCATTCATAATATCGAACTAAAATGTTCATAATTCATATCACGCATTGACAGAAAGAAAAACCATGATTGGAGACAATCAAAGGCTCCATTTGCATGTACAGGAATAGCTCTTCCATTCATATCATATGCATGAACTCATGCATCCACGTATCACACCTGTCATATCTATATCTCTAAATTCATTCATAATATCGAACTAAAATGTTCATAACTCGTATGACACATTGACAGAAAGAAAAACGAAGACGGGAGACAATGAGAGTCTCCATTTGCATGTACAGGAACAGCTGTTCCATTCATATCATATGCATGCATGAACTCATGCATCCAATGCATTTTCATTCTTGCAAAAAATAGCTAAGCAAATGGAAAGTAATAATACTAAACAAAACATGGGGTGAGAGAGGCTCGAACTCTCGACCTCAGGATCACACTTTAGCTATAAGACCTACGCGCTAACCAACTGCACCACTATTGCTTGACATTTTGAATATCGTGCTAACCAAATCCAAAGTGTTAACAATGACGAGTTATTTTGTGGATTAAAAGGAACTGATGAATTAGCTGATTTGTTAGTAGAGACAAAATTGAATCTATCTTATCAATAGGTTTATTTGCTTTTCAAACTTATATTGATCATACCGGTTGCAACTCCAAGTGTTGAGAGATCTTTTTCAGCTTTGGGTCACATCAAGAACAACTTTCGGAATCGAGTAGGCGATCAGTTCGTGAATGATTATCCATAGGATATATTGAAATGAATTTATTGAGCACTATAGACAGTGAGTGTATTTTACAATTTTTTTCAAAATATGATAACATGTTGTGGACTTTGTTCGTAGCTTGTACTAGTCGGATATTTTCTTATTGATTTTTTAATTTATTATTAATTTAATTTAATTTTTAAAAGGGACACCCCTATATAAAATTTCTGGGTCTGCCACTGCTCGAGACTATAAAAAAAAATTTTTTTTTCACTAACCATTGATCTAGATCGTTGTGTTATACTAGTTTAACCACTTTCTATCGCTATTTTCATATAAAAAATTATTCTATCACCATTCAATATCAAAATACTTGATTGCTAACTTTATCCATTCGATAGCTTGTCCAATCAATCCGGCAACTTTCAGTCCAATTATTCATAAAATACCATAAGATGGAAATTATAATAAATTAGTAGTATTAATCGCAGGAGGACAATATTGAAACGTATGTTTTTTCGACCACCTCGTCAGCTTTCGTTGTGTTTGATTCATAACGAACTAGATCAAACATGCCATGTTGAGATTGTAATAGATGGGCAATATTACAGTAGTATGGCAACATTGAGATAGTCGACTGGAATCCTATCCATTGAAAATGAACTCAATTAATCTAGTCATTCCAATGATTAGACTTCAAAATTGAACCTTCTCAAGAACAACCTTTTAGCTTAACGATATCGTGCTAGAGTCGTATACAGAAGGTGTTGGATTGGATTCTTTTTACAAGTTGTCAGCCAATGGGAACAAATCACAATTAGTTTTGATGATTTTGTCACATCGCTGATTAATCACAATTAGTTTTGATGTTACCATGTGGTTGGTAAATGGTAACATCATCAACCTTCTGTTGAAGTATATGCTATACAGCACCCATACCAGTTCCAAAGATCACTACTAAATAGATGTAAAAATTTGTGTACAATGTTCATTCGTCACTGATCAAAGAATTGTCAATTCTCACATATTGCTGTCGAATAGGTAGATTCTACCTGTGTGATTTCACCTGACTCGATAACTGAATTGATCGATGACCATCACGAGTAATCCTAAAAGCTCCACGTTATTAGTAACTGAATGTTGGCTATCAAGGACCTACATTGCAACCTCTTCATAGGCTCTAGCCATCCACGTAAACCTTGGACGGAGCGATATTTGATCATACACGAGTCATGACAGAGCTGAACACAATGATTTATATGCACTAACACATAGCTTGAACTTCTCAGCAGCCGTGGCCTGGGAATAAACCTGATGTCTGTCTGGATGCCATTTCAGTGCTGACTCTCGAAACCTGCAAAACAAAGCACCAGAGAAGAAAACTATTTGAAGGCCCTGATTCAATGTCTCTCAAAGATAGTGATTGTAAGGCGAAGGGCTTACGCGTTCTTCACTTCTTCGATCTCCAGAGGGCCGGACAAGGGCAAACCGAGGGTTCTTCTGTCAGAAAATGATCCGACAACGATGGGTGACTCCCGATCAGACTCGGGTTCACTTGCATTGCCACATTCTTGACTTCTCTTCCATGTCCAGTGTGCAGACTCTGTGTTAGATCGTTGGGAAGCAAACCCTTGGTGGAAGGACCAAGTGTACCATTTGTTCCCGAATTTCGCTTGGAACATGGACTCGGGATCATCTGAGTCCTCACCAGAGGTATCTCTTCGAAACTTGCCTGTGAGAGTATCGATGAATAGCATTTTAAACACATGACCAAGAAAGATGCTTTAAACAGCTTCTGAAACTCTTCTATCATGAATGAATAAACCAACTGGGTTCTATCATAGAGCTATATGGATAAAGAATTAGGTAATTGTGAAATCTTACGCTTCATCCTGCCACTATGACCCCTTCTGTTTGTACGTTGACTTGAAGAATTTGAATGTCTTTTCTTGTCAGCAGTAAATCTGTCTTCTGCACCAAAGTTCCACAATCGTTCTTCCTAAGAACAAAGCCGCAGCAGCAATCATACTCAGAATCCAACTTAACAAGGCACTATTCTGTGATCTGGGGCTATCCCTCCTCTCGAAACAAGTTGATTAGCGCATAACGGCACATGCTTTTGTTAATATCAGAATGTCGAGGTAGGCTTGCTCCAATTTTGACTGCCATTGGAAGTGTCACTCAAAACCAACTTTTCTTCAGAAGAAGAGTCCACTAAATTAGTATGTGCAGCAAGTCGGCTAATGCTAATGTTTCTAAGTCTGGACAAAAGGCCATCTAAGTTCTTCGACGAACTCTTGATCAATTGTCATCTATCGCAAAATTGGTGAACTTTATAGTGTGGAATTTCCCAGAAACTGTTACCTGACGCGGTGGTGAGGTTCCATTACTGAAGAGGAGATGCTTCAAAGCCTTCTTTGTATCAGCACGTTTTTGTCGTACCGCGAATCTCACATGATCCTAGACAAATCATTCTCACGTCGTCAGATAAACTTCCACTTTGGGATCAAAGCAAGAAAGCCCCTTTTCTGGCGAATTGATTTGAGATGCAGAATGCTCCATCTATCCAACGATCAACATTCACCTAACAATGTCGACAAACAATACACAGAAAAGCAAATACAGAGAAGCTGCCTGCTACAACTATCTCTCATGGAAATGGATCGAAGGATTCCATAAGAACCAATTCCAACTAGTAACCAACGAATACAAGATAAAAGCCTGGAACTTGAAGCTTCCAAGAACTCACAGTTTTTCCCTTGTTCTTCGACCGGTCGCAGGAAGTGGCCGTCGAATGAATCGAGGCCACGGAGGAGGTGTTCAGATTCGATTGAGAAAGAGCTGGAATCAAGTAGTTCTTCACGATTAACACGTTTCGCCATTTGGGTACTTGCATAATCAAGGAAAGAACCGAGCTTTTTCACCAACTTGGGTGTTCCAGCAGTTCCGCTGACAGTAAGGATCTCCGCAACCGGCGATTTGGCGGGGGAAGAGATTTTGGCGTCGCCGACGACGGACATACACAGAAAGGGAGCGGTTAGGTTTGGGCCGGGATGGCGGTCGATTTTAGTTTACGGGCTTTTCAGTTTTCAGTTTTCACAAAGTGATCAAATTTCTAATTTGGTACTCAAACTTTAAACACCCAACAAAGAGGCCCTCTAACTTTGGTGTTACGTTTCCTTCTTGTCCTCTACGTAGTAATAAGTATGAAATTCCACCGAATTAGCATACGATCTCATACGATAAGGATGGCGATTGCACGAAAGAACGTATTTGATTTGATCTGATTCGGTTCGGTTGCAGTTTGGTCAATCTACTTCATGGATTTTAGAGGAACTAATGGAACAAAAAGAAAAAAAATATCCTGATTTTGAGAGCTCAAATTATTTTCGATCAATATATCAACTCATTTTGCTTAGTAGCAAAAAACAAAGCAAAACTCTGGTTTCATGCAAAATAATGCGAACATAATAAGAAAGCAATAGCTGGAGAAAACCATCAAGAAGCATAGGAGCATCAGCATACAACATCAGCAAGATATGGAGTCATAACAATGATGTGATTGTCGATTCAGTCAAATATAAATGCGAAAAATCCTAACGTGTAATGAGAAATCCTAAATACCTGGTTACCCTACAGAGCCTTGAAGGACAAATTTGTCCATCATTAGAGGCTGAGATTCAACCCAGAGAGTAGAACAACGACCATCTGGACTTTGCTTTAACTCCAATTCTGTACTTTGCTTCATAGCTTGAGAGTGTAATTGTCAGACCATCATTTATCCCCAGCAATGTCTAAACTAGATGGAACCTGATCCTGCAAGCGCTTCACGTTCTCGACGGCGTTGTTCTCTCTGATGAAAACAGTTTCGGACCATGAACATTAGGTCTTCTTTAGAATTAACCAAGAAACAAAGAATTTTCTATCAGCAAAAGGATATGCAGGGGGGTCAAGTTACCCTTCTTTCCCAATAAGGGTGGAAGCACACGAAATCATAGACAGGGGTAATGGTTGAAACCAGGACCACATTCAGTCCTGTGAACACCAGCAAAGCTGCCATTGGCCGCGTCCTATGTGGCATCTTCGTTCACTTGCTTCTGCAAGACTCCCTTTGTCTGCAGTATGTTCCGAAATCGGATTTGAGTGGCAGAAATCTCAGAAACACAGGATTCGGAGCAAGGTATGACAGAAACTTCGATGGACATAAAAAGCAGGCATTACCAAAACTATGCACAAGCTTAGCCGAATTCAAAGCACTCTCACATCCACATTGCATTTCTAAAATCTAAACATATATACTCACAGACCCCTAATTAACCTCCCATCTCCATCACGCATCTGATGAACCATCGATTTCAGCTCAAGAAGTCGGAAGATGAAGTTCCAATGATCAAGTTCTCAATCATTACATTCCCGAGCTTCGATCAGAGAAATCTACTAATTCCTTCCTAGCATTGCACTTCCTAGCAAGATCACATACAATCCAAGTTTGGGGACTAAACCAACAGGATTCAAACAAAGATCTGAAATTTCATGATCATTCCCTACGAGTGAACTCTTATTGAACAATCAAATCAAAGCTAGGGCTCTTTCACTCATGCAAGCAGAACACACCACAACCATGTGTCCAATAATGAGCAAAGTACACACCCACTTTCTAAAGTTCCTAAATTTCTTCATAAGCAGGCGAACCCATATAACCTAATCTCAAATTCCACCTCGTCTAGTTTTCTCAACCACTTTACATTTCTGTTTTTTGCATTCTCCGCTTACCAAATCTTCTTCTTTCCTAACGGAAATCTTCCAAACCGAATTCAAAGAAGAAGGAATCGAATGCTTTCAATACCTTTTTTCAAGCCCGGAAAGCAATGAATTCTTCGAGCAGCTTCGCCTCTTCGCCGGCGGCAAGACTCAAGGGATCACAGGAAGAAAGATGGATAAAGGGAGCAGTTCTTTTGAGTAAGAACTCGCTGGTTAAAAGATGTATTGGGCTTATCGGCTCAAACAATTTACTGGGCTCTAATCTAGATCCAAAAGCCCACATTCAATATTCAGTGGCACTAGGAAAGAAACGCCGGTTAGCTCCATTTTACCAAGCGCGAATTCCAAAACCCGCTTTAAACCCAAAAAATAATTCCGCCGCCGTCTCCGTTATCTTCCTCCTCCTTCCGCCGGCGAGAAGTTACCCACCGACACCGCAAGCCTCGGAGGCGCAGATTTCCCGTAAGTGTTGACCTTTTCCTTCTTCAATCTCCTTTTGGTATCTTTCTCCCATGGGATTTTTCTGTCCCGAAGAATTGACAGGAAACTTGAGATTTCGAAGCAAGCAGTAAGTACACGTAGAGGTGAATCAACAAGTTGAAACTCGAGCACTGTGAATTTTGCTGCTTAATCTCAACAATGGAGTTTGTCTATTCTGTAAACTGATCGTGAACCTGACTTTGTTAATTTCAGTGTTTGTTTACTTGGAAATGGAAAATATTTGCACCAGATAATTTATTGTTGTTACTCTCTAGGTTCTAAGTTTTTTTGAATTGAAATGATTTCTATTTTCAGAAGGGTGGGAAGGAGATTCAACTTTGGGTTTGGAATGAACTGCTTGTCTAGGTTATCTGCATACTCCGCAACCATCTTTGGAAGGTCGACCAGCCATTTCATTGTCAAGGGCACCTGGAATCAGTGCTCAAGCCCCCTTTGGAAGCACAGCTTTGAGCTTAGTTCCGTTAGAACTGGAAACCCGAAATGTGTCCTCCCTAAGTTTGTCACCCGTTGCTACTCAACCGAGAAGCCCAAATCAAAAGCTCCACGGAAGAGGAAGTCTTTAGAGGAGAAAGAGACGGATATGGAGAAAGATTCTTTCTTTGTGGTGCGGAAGGGGGATCTTGTTGGTGTGTACAACACTTTTAATGAGTGTCAGGCTCAAGTCGGATCTTCAGTAAGACATAGCGATGATCGATCATATTTGTTTATTCTGATTTTGGAGTCTCGAGCATTCTTTTGAATGTCTGATTTTTTGACAGATATGTGACCCTCCTGTGAGCATTTACAAAGGGGAATCGATACCGGATGAAACCAAAGAGTACCTTGCAACTTGTGGACTTCAGAATGCTATATACACTATTCGAGCTCAAGATTTGAAGCCTGATCTCTTTGGCACACTTGTCCCTTGGCCATTTCAGGTGAGTTAGATAACTTTAAAACACTTGGTTGTTCATCAAGTCCGCATGTTGGACTATAGGTCTTAGAGATGGACTTGCATCACATTTGTAGACTAAGACTTGTTCTACATATTCACAGCAACCTGGTCATTCCACAGAACAAATTGATGACAGGGATGGCAAAAAGAGAACCCTAGATATGATGATACCACAAGCAGTGGTAAGTTTTGGTTACTTTCAGATTGTAAACTCTTCAGCTTGCTTACCGTGGTCAAACCCTTCTCTCTGTATGCTTTCTCTCTATACATGCATTGCTGATGTTCGGCAGGAAGCAGGTGGAACCGCATTGACTGTAGCTGATCCCTCGAAAAAGGCTGTCCAATTGGATCATCAAATGGCTACTCCACTACGTTCTTTTGGTTATGACCCGGTAAGTGGTTATATGGCAAAGATGTATGATCATGTGTAATCTATTCCTTCTGCTTTACATTTGACAATCACCTCTTTGACACATTTAATTCTCAGGACACAGTTTTATGTCCATGCTCTCGTAAAGTCAGATAGTAGAGCTATGTGACTTGGTACAGAAAACTCACTGTCTTCTGATCTACAGGAATATTGTACCCTCGAGTTTGATGGTGCTTCGAGAGGAAACCCTGGACCAGCAGGGGCAGGAGCTGTTCTACGGACAAGTGATGGAACTTTGGTGTGCATTGACTTTCAAGTATCTATAGCATTTTTCTTCTTCATGCTTCCATATATCTAAAACTTACAGTTTTGTGTAGATATGCAGGTTGCAGGAAGGATTAGGGACGAAGACTAATAATGTGGCTGAGTATAGAGCTGTACTTCTTGGACTGAGATATGCTCTCCAGAGGGGCTATAGAAAAATACGCTTACAAGGCGACTCCAAGCTTGTGTGCTCTCAGGTTTGGTTAATATCTTTTCCCCTTCCACTTGCATTTTGGGTTTAAATGCCTAATAGATCACTGAACTACGATATTTGTAGCAAATTGATCACCAAGCTGACTAAAAATCCTAACAATATTAACGAAACTAAACGTGTTCTAACAAATACCAGATTAGATAGTTGATTGGGGGTGTCGACCAGTCGATTTTCGGTGACATGACAACCCTGTTGGCATATTCACTCAACCAATACCAGATTAGATGTCGTGACTGTTTTGCTACTAATTGCCTAGTTTAGGTAGCGTTCTGTTGCGCTTTCTATAGTATATCGGCTGTTTAGCTATGAAGCTCTTAATTCAGTGGCCTTGGGGGCATTTCATCCTTGCATTTCTTTTCACAGATGGTGAAAATAACCGTATCTTGAAACTTTTATGTCACAGATTGATGGTACATGGAAGGTCAAGCACGCCGGCATGGCTGAATTATGCGATCAGGTCAAAGAGCTGAAGGACAGATTTGTCTCTTTCGAGATTAACCATGTTCTAAGGGTAAGACCATTTCAATAAAATGATGATACATTACCAGATCAATGTTTCATCTCATATTGGTGAACTGTTTTTTCTCTTCAGGAATTCAACGCCGAAGCTGATGTTCAAGCAAATCTTGCTGTTAATCGCCGTGGTGAGAAAACCCCCTTCGTCTCGTTTAAGGTTTTGTTTGTTCTGGCTTTTCAATCGAGAAACCGACATGCACCAACAGTCTGCTAATGCTTTCTTTTTCTTGCTTCAGAAGGAGCAGTTCAAGAGGTTTACGAATAGCAGCATATATAGCTACTTAAGAACAGAAAAACTTGTTTCTTCTTCGACCTGGGTTTCCCGCTTACCTGTCCTTATCGGGGTGGCCAAAATAGTTGAAAGATAGTCGAAGTTCTTGATGAGTAGAGAGGCTTTACATTCAGCACCGGAGATATCAGAAAGGGGCCAGTTTTTGAAATGTAATTTCCAGTTCCCATGCAGGTTTGAACAACTTATTATGAACCCTCGGAAGTCAAGAATATGGGCTATATTACCCTTTGCTGCTGACATCGACAGCCATTTCGGATACCGTCGAAGAAAGAAATTGCTACTCACTTGCACTTCTTTTGTATGTTGAATCAAATATGATATGCTGGGTGTTATCTAACTTTTAACGAACTTGTCAAGTTTGGAATCAAGTGACGATGTGACATAATAGTCGCGTTGTTTAGCCTCGTCAACATGTAGTCCATAAGTGTCCATATCAACTCATCATTGTCGTCAATCCAATCCAGCGGGACTAATACAGGTCATATAGATTGAAATTGGGTCGAGTAATAAATTTAATATGCATGGATATGGATATAAAATTTTGTATGTTTTTTTTTTTACTGTTGTTTTGAATTAGTATGTGTAAGAACTAACTAAGCTCTATTTTCTTGCTAAAGAGACGCTTAAAAGCATAAACCAACTCTGAGGCACCAGTTGTTCATGTTGCCATTTTCAATATTCAATAGCCGCCACACAGCTAAACTCGAAATGAGTAGACATATTACCAGAGAGTCTGTGAAATATGTCTCAGAAATCATTCCTTAGCTTAGTGGAATATCCCATGTAATGTAGGCCTCCTCTCTAACAAATTATGTTAGGTAGGGTAGCTAGAAAGTAATATCACTCAGCCTCAGGTAGACTCGTCGGTGGTCCATCAAAGCAGACCTCCGTCTCGTTCCATAACATATTAGAATGTGTGATTATAAACTCCATTTTTATTCATATGTGTTCTCATTTTATCTTTATAAATACTCGACAAATTCGACATGAGGGATGGGAACAAAAATATCCTTAGCCATATGTTTTCAATGTTGTAGAAAGGGGTAAATGACACATTTGGTCACTGAGATTATTAAATTGTGTCATGTTTAGTCACTAGAAAAAATTAATATCAATTTTGGTCACTCGAATTACCGAAACTGGTCAAATTTAGTCACTCTCCCGTCAGTTTCCGTCCAACTCCATTAATGTAGCTGGACGGAAACTTTTGGGAGAGTGACTAAATGTGACATGTTTCAGTAATACGAGTGACTAAATGTGACATTTTTCAATAATTCGAGTGACCGGAGTTGGACAGAGGCTACAGAAGAGTGACCAAATGTGACCTGTGTCAGTAATTCAAGTGACCAAAATTGATATTAAATTTTTCTAGTGACTAAATATGACACGATTTAGTAATCTCAGTGACCAAATGTGTCATTTACCCTTGTAGAAAGTAAAATCCAGCTAACTTTTCAGCAAACCCTAGAGGGATGATGATATATGCTCAAAGTAGGCTGGCACGAATTGGTCCCCATTGGTTTTGTCGAAACATTGGAGGATACTAAGGGCCTTTTAGCATGAAACCAAGGAAAAGGGTCGTCATGCCAACCTAGCTTAGCTAACCCACAAAAAACTGTACATCGAGAATATAACAGTACAAATGGCGCCAACTCCATCGTTTTCTCTGCTTTGCTGTCTCCAACCAAAACCCCCAAAAAAGTGAAAAACCTAAACGTCCAACAAGATTCCACAAGTCAAACTATAAAAATACTTTGCAACGTACATATCAAACCATTGCCTAACCTTGATGCTTGACATAGTGGCATCATCTGATCTCTTATCTCGTCTTTGAAGATCATCATGCTAGGATTGGATACAATAGTTTGACTTGAAGATTACCATGAGTATACTATACTAATACACGGGTTTCTCCCAACAACTTAAATTGTTGTGGCTAACTGATTTTCGACATGGTATTTGAGCTTTCGACTATGAGATTGTATACCGTGTTCGAATCTCCGATTGATACTCAACAACCTGCCCGAATTCATGGACGACACGAACCTATATGTTACCAAGAGCTCATTCCAGAACGATTGTATAGCAGATGGAACACAACCAACTTGTGCTCGTGGTTGGGTTACTACGAATTGTGTGATCCGCGGGCTACTGTAGGTTGTGGGTTATGAAATGGGTCGACGATGCATACAATTACTTGACAGATCATTATGGATTGCGTGTTCAACGAAGAGGCCATCGACATCGATCTTGTCGTGTAAGGTCGATGGATGAGCAAAATGATCGTATCTTTCTTTTTATATCAAGATATACGAGTTTAAATTTGTACAAGTCATACGAGGTCAAATAATACCCAACCGAATATAGATCAATAGGAAGAGACCAAAACAACATACAACTAGAAAGAACATTAACTTGTGATGCATTGTGTGTTAGAAAAGGAGTCATCAACACCGATCTGATCACACAAGTCGATCGAGAAACAATACTATCCAAGTCTCTTTTTTTTTATCAAGACTTACAAATAAAATCTGTATACAAGCGTCTCTAATCTCATACGAATTCAATTAATAGTTTAATGCCGAATCGAATATTAAATCGATTGGATTGAACCAACACTAACATATAGAACTCGGAATCTGTCATCCCAATGTATGATTACTCACAACTCACAAAACGATAATTAACACCAGCTAATTAATCAAAGGTTATTAGGGCATCCATCCAGAATCGATAATTAGAGTATATGTATGCAGAATCAAAAGTGGTTACAGGGTGGCTCTACACATGTAAACCATAATTTTACCCCGTAAAAAAGAAATACTTTGGAAAACGAAAGGATTGTGGCACCCCACATAAAATGATTAACATCAAACTCCATAATAAGTTGTGAGCATGTCTGTCTCTCTGTCCGTAACCTCCCTTCCACTCCCCCTCTCATTAGTTTAATTCTAATTGATTTCTTCCCCCCACAAAACTTAATTACCATATTCCTTGTGTAATAAAACAAAGGGGTCGTTTGTTTGGTCTACGAGAAGAAATAGGCGTGTTATATGATTGACAGAGAAAAGAAAATAAACGATTCATGGTAGAAATAATATGGATCACTAATAATAGTAAGTACTTGTTATAAACGCGCTGCTACGGATCGGGAAATCGCCGGAATCGACAAAGCAAGAATACGAAAGCGAGAATCGAAAAACACAGACACGCGATTTACGTGGTTCACTAACACGATGTGTGTTAGCTAGTCCACGGGCGAGAGAGAACCAGTTTCACTATATCGAGGAGATTACAGATTACAGAGGAGTATGAGAAGTATTTATAGTACTTCTCCATGTGGGTCTAAACCTAATCCAATCTGGCAAAGGAAACGGTTACAGACCAGGCCCAGAACCCGAACCCAAATAACATTGAACCCAGATTACCAGTCGTAGCGGCTGATAGTCCGATTCAAATCACATCAACAGTACTAACTACTTATTGTTAGATAACTTACTCAAGACATTTCAACGTGGCGATCAATTAAAGTAAAAAAAGATTCACGAGGAAGTCGATTATGGTGATAAACCCAATGAACCGGTCGGGAAACCGAGTTGATTGGACTTGTTTGGACTGAGAGCCTTAAAGGATGGAACATTATAGGATGCACATGTTACTATGTTAGGTGTCTGAATAAGGTATCTCTCTCACGCGAGAGCTAGATGTACAATTGTGCGGTTGATGAATCTTTGTGTTGTTTGCATGAGTTCTTCAAGGTTTGAATCGTTGATAAAAAGGATATTTTAAGTCAATAATGAAGTTAATTGAGAAATTATGATAAGGTTTTTGAATCGTTGATAATATTGACAATACTTCAGAATTAAAAATTTCTTTTAGCTTCTATTCAATTTGATCACTTGCACTGGAAAACAAGAAACGATCGGATGATTCAAGCTTTCTTTTTTCGGGATCCAAGTTAGATTGATTTCCAACCTATAGTTTCAGATACGATCTCTCTCGCTCTTTCATTGACCGGTTCATAGATCAATTCGGTCCAAATTATAGACCGGACCAAAATCGTTATCCAACCCCCATTATACCTTCATTTTAACTCATCCAAACAAACAAACCCTAACTTAATTATTTATTATATAAACCTCCTTACCCAAAACCTTGTGTGGGTATATATATATAGGCAGGATACAAATCAAGGTACCAATCAAACCGGCACAAAATAAAATTCTCAAAGAGGCTCTCTCTCTCTCTATATCTCTTTCTCTCCCAAAAAAACCCTCTCAATTAATTTAGCTCTCAATAGCAATAATCATGGGAGCGTGCGCCACCAAGCCAAAGGTCGCCAAAGACGACCAGCTCCTCCCGGCGCCGGCGCCTGAAGAAGCCACCAAACCGGCGGCGGATCCTTGCCCGGTGGAGGAGCCCAAGAAGGCAGAGGATCAGCCAGCTGCCGTCGCTGTGGAGGAAAAGGAAGTTGTGGTCGTCGCAGAGAAGAAAGAAGTCGAGGAGATAAAAACAGAGGAGGAGGTCAAAACAGAGGAGGCGGCGGCGGCGGGGAAAACAGAGGAGGCGGCAAAACCAGAGGATGGGGAAGATATTACTGTGGACGATGAGAGCGCCAGACGGAGATCTCTTAGTAACCTTTTCAAGGAGGTAAAATTTCGTGTCTTTTTTTTTACTATATGATCATAAGAATTTATCAAGGTTACTCTTTGTTTTTTAATATATTTTCTTTGCTTTTTTTATCGATTTAATAGAGATTAATACTAGGAGTTTTTTTTTATATTGTGGGTGTGATCTAGTGGTAAAGATTTTGGGTTTTGGGTAGATTATTGTGGGTTAAACACCCTAGAAAACAAGTTGGGCTCGATTTCTCTGTCGTCAATCGATAGTCCTAACAGAAACAACGTTTAAACAACTGATAAACTAATTTAAGATGAAACAAATAAAAATTTATTAGTTTCGTGTCACAAGATTAGTTGTTCTAACGTTTTTTTTTTTGTAGTGATTCATAATAGATTTGGGTTAGTAATTTGAGTTGAAGGTTTGAATAAATTTAGCGGATATTCATGAATTAGGTTTACTTTTGTTTCAATGATGGATCCATTGCGATCAATTTTTTCATTTTAAGTTTTCTATATATGGAACATATATACCATAAAGTTGGAGCTAAAGTTTCGACCAGGTTATCATCACAATGAAGGTTCTTGCATTTTTTACTAAAAAAGAGATGGTAATAATTGGTATTCATGATGAGTAAGTACTATTTAGGGTTTTATTTTCTATAAAAATCTTTTTTCTAAGTGCAATTTGTTTCCTTTGCTAATCCGGCTGAATTAGTGGATGTGGGCTCCTCTTTTTGCACTAACTTAGTCTAGGAAATATTAGAAAAAAAAGTGAAAAATAATAAGATACTAGAAAGAAGGGAAAGTGGTAGATGAATATATAAATAATTCATATGTACAGGCTGTTTGGGATGTCTTTTTGCTTGTCTAACGCGTTGGATTTATGGGTGACCATTGGTTTTCACATTTCTTCCCAACCCCACAATACTTCTCATATTAATTTGATTTTCTAATAAACATATTAATTTTTTTTATTTAACATTATAAATAATTTTTTTCTTACAATAACATTATGTCTAATTAATTTGCCAAAAAGAAAGACTAAACATAATATAAAGATATGCCGGTATTGATAATTTCATGGGTGGGAACATTTGATTTTGAGTGTACACGATGGATAATCAAGTTTTAAAGCTAGACTTTAATAATCAAATTTCGGATTTTAATTGTTGTATTTGTTTTAACACAATGATACAGTAGTCTAGAATTTCAACTATCATGCAATTTTTACTCATAAGTTTGTTCTCTTAATAGTCACCTTTAGGTGGATTTCTTAAATGATTTGAATATAAATTCACATATTTTATAATTTAGGTAGATAATTTATGATCAAACTGGCAATATACCACGCACCTACAATCAACTATCAAGAGTGTTCCATAGACGCACCCATTAAAAACATACCGATGTTTTGAACAAAGAATTCGATTTACACTAATGATTTAGAGTTAAGTCTTATCGTGTAGGTTTATATGTCTTGGTTTAGTTATTCGCACAAATTTTTACAATATTCAACGGATTGATATTTGATATGTGTCACGCTTTAGAACCAAAAGCTCAGTATGCTATGTTTAATGCATGTGGAGTAAGTAGCCTATCATATATCAAAATCAAATTCTTTTCTATGTGACAATTACTTGACAAGCAAACATGTGGTGTTTTTTTTAGGGTTCTCAATTTGGATAATGACCTCACATAACCCATTATTGTTTTGGGTCCTCCATTGTCATGTTCTTGCTTCTTTGGTAGTTATTATGCAATAGGAAAGGGCAAAAAAAGGGGTCCTCCATCAGTCTTCATCCAATAACTTTCTAGAATACAACTTGTAAATTCGAACCCCACATCAAAAACTGCCATGCATAACATCCACATGTATTATGTCAAGTAGGTTTGATTGACCCTTTATCGTTGTTGCTCGCCGCGTACTTAAATCTCATGGTTCGCGGTCTAATTTCAATCAATAACTATTCATTCGCTTATTTCGTTTAAGCAGTTGCGAGTTACGAAAACAACTGCATTAGTCAATACTGTCGACAAATGATATCGTACATCTTGCGCGTTTAGTTAGTCTTACTCGACTCGAATTAGATTAAACCGCAGAGTGTTTGGATGGATGGATGAGTTGATGAACTTTTTTAAACTTATGTTTGCATGCCAAAAAAAAAAAAAAAAAAAACAGAGCACAGAAGGAAAAGAGACCTCTGTAGAAGAAAGCATTGAAAAGCCACCAGTATCAGCAGAAGCAGAACCAAAAGCAGAGGAGGTAGCAGTACTTGAAAAAGTGACACAACCACCTCCACCAGCAACAGCAGAGGCAGCAGCAGCTGAAGATTGCAAAGAGCCAGAGCCAGAGACCAAGACAGAGGCAGCTCCAGAAGTAAAAGCTGATGAAGAAGTAAAAGAAGAAGTAAAAGAAGTAGAAGAAGAGAAGAAATCAGTGGTTGAGACGACACCAAAACCAGAGCCATCTACTGCTGCTGCAGTTGAAGAGCCGTCGCCGCAAGCTTGTGCTGAAGAAGAGAAGCCACAGCCGAAAGCAGAGGAAGAGAAGCCGCAGCCGAAAGCAGAGGAAGAGAAGGCAGCTGTTGCTGTTGTTGCTGAGAAGGTAGAAGAAGTTCCTGTTGTGGAAGCCAAGGAGGCACAGGAGGATGCACAGCCTGTGGAAGTAGTTAAGGAAGCTGTTGTAAATTAGATGATTACATAAGGTGGTTTGATATCTTGGAACAGTTTTCATTTCTTTCTTTTCTCTTTTTGTGGAGAGGTTTTTTTTTTGGGATATTTGGTTGTGTTCTTTTGATTGATTGATTGATGATGATGATGCCACATTTTGATGGGAAGGTAAATGGAGGAGTTTGCTTGTGTTTGTGTTGGGATTAAAGTTTGTACAAATATGTGTAAGTGTGCCTTAATTCTTATATTCAATTCTTGAGTGTTAACAGAGGAGCTATATGAGGTATGATCTTTCAATCACAGAAAGTTCGGATGTGTTGAGAACCACTTGATTATATCGTATTTGTAGACCAAACTCGTATTGTGAGTGTCGTTTTAAGATGTAATCAGAATATTGTTTAGTCATGGACTTAAATGTGTCACATATAATCATATATTTGTATGAGAATTCTATCTAGTGAGTGTGATAATACATACTTTCTCATTAGTAGATCGACTGTCACCGACTATTATAATTAGTGGACTTAAATGTGTCGTTTTACTTCTGCTTGAAGAAGCCATGCACGACGTCGTTGCATTACGCACGACGTCACTCTACTTGTTCGTTTTTTACTGTAATTAGTGGAGTTAGTTAATTAGTTAGCTCTATTTTGTTGTTAGCCTCAATCAGGGGCGGACCTAGGGCAAGGGGAGGGGTGTCGTCCGACACCCCTCCGCCCGAAAATTTTGTGAAAGACCTCTATTTTTTCGTTAATTTTTTTTTTAATTTGAAACTTCCTACACCGCTCAAATAATTATAAGCGACACACTTTCATTATACGACAATAGTTTTAATGTTATAAAGTTATTCATCATAATTAGTAATTAACAATAATAAGTAAAATCAAATAAGCATGCTTGTTTTAAGTAACCCACAACCCAATTTAACTTGTCGATTTGCAGTTAATAGGTGAATTGCGTATATTTATGGGAGATTGCGGTTTGATTTTGGTTAATTTGATAGAACTAGAGAAAAAAATGCTAATGATATTACTTTAGGCATACTTTGTTTTTTTTCTAAAATAGCCGATTGGTAGCAAACTAATTTATTTTAACTTAATTTGATTTTAGACGTAGGTCGATTCTCTTTAGTTGAGTGACTAATTTATGAATGATTGTGCAGTTGTGTATATCGAAAAAGGTTTGATCTGCAACATAAACGATGAATGTATTTTAAAAAAATCTCAGGATATGACAAATCGTCATAATTCGTAGTAAACATGACGTTGTGAACTTATAAATGAATTTCCAGTAATTTCTATTAAATTTCTATTAAATTATTTTATTTTTTATATTTTTTATCGGCAACACCCCTCTTCAATAATCCTGGGTCCGCCACTAGCCTCACCGATTGTAAAGTTTTTTTTTTGTTTTTAATGAATAAGCCATTTTATTCATCAAGTAAGAATGGCAAAGTGCCATTCAAACTGAAACTGTCTACATCCCAATAGTGAACTTACAGAACCAGAAAAACCAAGAACAATCACCTACTACAACATGCTACCCAGCAGAAAAAAAGTACAAGCATCTAAAGAACAAAACTATCTAACAACATGTCTGAAATGATAGCTGCAACAACTGTATTTCCACATTTAAGTAAAACCTGAGATGTTCTTGGATCTTCAATGCAAATTGGTCCTCCCTAAGGATCTGACCAGCATACAGACGTCGACACTGCTCTCCAGTGGCGGAGCTACTTGGTAAGCTGGGGGTGCGTGCAGCCCCCTTGGTCCAGCAAAAAAATTCCACCACCAACAATTAGTAAGGCCTCAAACAAATAACCCTCTAATGACAAGTTGACTTTCTTCCATCTCAACTACGTTAGCTAATTTTTGTAATTCTGCTATCTTTCGTTCATATTTACATTAGCAAATTGTTCTGAAACCTCCAACTATAATAGTTATGTCCCACAATCATTTTGACGAGGTCAATGATCAGTTTTTGTAAACTATTAATTGCTTAAATCCACATAATTCATTTGCTACTTTCGATTAGGAGAAACTTATTCAACTGACTACTTTCTACCCCTACAACTTCCCTCCAAATATTATGAAGTTTCTGGGTGAATTCATATATTTGTGATCCACCATTGATGACAAGTTCAAAGACTTACAAGCGATAGTTAGAAAAAAAATACGGTGGAAACAAATAATTAGCACAAATAGTATCCATCTGTTTAATTATTTGCTACTCAATTTGACGCTTATTCTGTCTATGGCAACAACCAACGTAAAGATATAATTTTCATCCATGTAATATATCAAGAACGATCTTCGAAATCAGATGAATGATTTGTAGTTGAACGTTGCATCAGTGACATATTGAATAAGATTTGTGTGCTAGTTTGGACAAAAAAATGTGTTCAATACTTTCGGAATATGAAATCTCGTCGAGGTTTCTTGAAGGCGATGTTCGTAGAAAAGTCAACTCCAAAAGAAAAGGCAAGTACATAATAACCAAGAATCGTACAATTACATAATATGAAAAAGACACCCCCTTAATTAATTTTCTGGCTCTGCCACTGCTGCTCTCTCCATATCTCGAAAATTACCACCATCCATAACAACATTCCAAGGACAGCAGAATCCCTATCTGCAGTATACAGTATCGAAACTTTCTGCAGTGACTCATTCCAATCCCTTCCAAACTGGAATGTAGGCCTAAGAACAGTCTGCAGAATCTGTCTAGCATAGATACACTCTACAAACAAGTGATCGCTAGACTCAGGGAGAGACTGACATAGGGGGCAGAGATTAATAACAGAGTTATTCCATTTATGGATTTTGTATAGACTATAGAGTAGCTATTCGATTCTGAATGATCAACCAGACTAGTAACTTGTCCCTAGGAACAGATAAAGGCTTCCATACCAGCTTATACCAAGTGACCTTTGGTGCTGTGACCCTTACTATTTCCCAAACTTACTTAACAGAAAATCGCTCCATCAAGCTGCCATTCCAGAAAACTTCAGCATTTCTTACATGAAAATGTCTTTCTGCTAGTCCTCTAACTTTCAGGACCTTTCGCCAAGCCCATGAACAATTGATGGTAGATGGAATACACCATATAGTTGTATAGGTCAGCTTAACGAGAACGAGTTTTCATCCAAACCCTTTTCTTAGTTTCTGGAGAAGAAAATTGCTGTACAAATATAAGCATTGAATAACTTAGAACTTACAGGCTTTATTTTCTCCACGACTATGTGTGTGTTAGAGTGGGTGGAGAAGGATTTGGAGTCCATGTTTAGGACGGATTGTGAGCATGTTAAACGGTGCATGGACATAAGAAGGTGACAAGCTGAATCTGTATCGTCGGAGAATCATCGAGAGAGCGATCTTGATCTCTGCAGCTGCAAAGTTCAACCCCACACAAGTCCTTGGCCCAGACCCAAATGGTAAGAATGCTTTGGCCAAACCATGATCAGCAGCAAACCTCTCTGGCTTGAAAAGATGACAGTCTTCTCCCCACAGCAAAGGGTTATGGTGAATTGCTAAGATGGGTAGACTCAGTGCCATGTTTGCAGGAAGCAGGTAGTTCCCCAGCTTGGTCTCCCTCTCAACTTCCCTTGTGAGGTTGAAAACTGGTGGATATAGCCTCAATGATTCATTCACAACCATTGCCATCTGCAGAAAATAGACAGAACAAACAATGTTCGAACGGTTTGTTAGTAAATGGTATAAGATACATAATTCAAGAACAACCATGGCTTACTTACCTGCTTCAATCTAGAGACACCATCAAGTGTGATTGGATTGTGTTGGTCAAACAATTCAAGAACCTCTTTTCTGGCTTTGTCCTGCCAGTCTGTGTGGATTGCTAGAAGGAAAACTGTCCAGGCGAGGGAACTTGTGATGGTTTCATGGCCACCAACATAGAATGCCTTGCACTCATCAACGACGTCGTCGATGGTTATCTTCCTGGACAAGTCACTGTCATGAAAAGCATTGAGAAGGGAACCAAGGAAGTCATCATCACTTCCATTGTAATAACCATCTCTTCCTTCCCTCTTCCTTATCAGCTCTATGATTGCTTCCTTAATTGCTTGCTCCAGTTTGTCTGATTCAATATCATCACTTGTTCTCCAGAGCTTACTGCAGAAAAAACTCAAAAAGGAACAGATTACCAGAAGAATGATTATGATCATTGAAGCCTATATGTACTTACTCTAGCCCTGGAATGCTGCTGACTTTGAAGTTGTTTCTGTTGACTATGAGACCAAGCTTTGTCAACATATCAAAAACATTCTTGCCTTCCACATAACTACTGCCAAATGCTGTCCTGGAGATCACTTCTGATGTCAAAAGCTTGAATTCTTGAAATGCATCAATCTCTTTCACATCTCTCCATCTCTGAAGCATTACCTCCACACTATCAATCATTGCAGGAATCATAGCCTGAAAACAAAACAAACCAAGAAAAGGGAAAAGAACCCATATCAAATTTATTGCCTGCTGCTACATAGCATGGGTTTGCTTTATCTAATCAGCAGCCCAGAGAGAGACCTTCAATGATCCTCCATGGAAAGCTTGGTTTGCAAGTTTCCTCGTCTTGACCCATTTCTCCCCTTGTGAAGACAGTATGCTATTCCCAAGAAACTTCTTGGCATAGCTTTGGATGAACTTCTTTTGATATGCGCCTTCTTTATTGCTCAGCACCTCTTTCACCAGCTCAGGATCAGTAATCACCAGCTGTGGCCTTGTTCCATACCAATTCAGAAAGTTGGTCCCTTGATCGTCAACAGATAAGAAAAGCATGTAAGAGTTTACCTTTCTGAACACAACAAGAAGAAGAACAAAGACAATTAAACCTCCAAAGATCGAAACTTTACCATGAATCTTGGTCCATGAATAGACATGAGGCATGATTCTGGGGAGCAGCTGATGATGAGAAAGTAGCTCCATCGAAGTGCTAAGAGCTTCAGTCCTCATGTGATTGATCTCTTTGGTATTCCCATGTAGGAATCTGTATGGAGGGCCGTTGACTCCTTGGCGGCCCATGGAAGACTGAATCATGATGGGTTTCAGCCATACTCGATTCAAGAAGCTGAGGATGCTCACAAGGGAAAGAAGGAGAGAACACGGCAAGCAAAACAAGAGGAAGAAGATGATTACTATTCCCATTTTGGTTTTGCAAATGTTCTTCTTCTTCTTATGACGAATCTGAACACTTATTGAAGTGGCGGTGTTAAGCATACACAGAAATCAAGAGTTTGGGGAATGAGAACAAAAATATAGTATTCGTTGCATGACGCAAGAGGTAATAAATGAATAGAGAATAAAACAAGTTGTGATTTTTATATGTCCAAGAATCTTAGCCTGATGAATATCTTAATTTTGTTTGCTGATTCTGTAGGAGGTTGCAGTCTTTGTGGATAGATCTCTACTTCCCAATGCAGTAATCACAGTCCTTCACAATTCAATAGTCATAGTCCTTATCAAGAATGCCTTAATCGACCCCAAAAAATCCAATTAGTTTGAGAATAATGAACTGGAACATGAAATTTCCTTTCTTGAAACCACTACTGAAAGTCTGAAACTATTCAACCTAACCTACCATTAAAACCCCATTTTCATAATCTCATACAAACACTACAGAGATAATGACCCAGCAACCCTACAAAATTTGTATGCCACAGGTGAATAATTGATTCTTGCACCAGTATCTCCTATTCTCGCTGTTGTACTCCACTTTTGCACACATCACCACCAATTTGAACCAATCAATCACTTAATGAAGCAATCCAATTAAACAAAACTAACCGAAGAAATCAGTATCCAATAACGTTTAAACAGAAGAAAACAAAAAGTACCTAAGTTTCTGAATTCAGTCCAACCCTCTTGCATCTTGTCTCCACTAAGAGGAGCTGCGTAGAGGAGGTAAGGTGGAGGAGAAGCACATTATGGAGTAGAGGGGGGAAAAGTCTTCTAGAGTAGCTCCTTCAGCCATTTTGCGGGAAAACCTATAATAAGGCGCGCGAAGTTTGGGTGAAAAAGCGTGCTGACTCAAGCAAACTAACGGATTTTTGGATGGAGATAGACGGAATTACCTTTTTGTTATTAGTCCAAATAAATGTTACTGAAACGCACAAAATTAAAGGTTTATGACCGTTTTGTACAAAGTGAATAGGTTTGTGACCATTTATGATAATTACCCAAACAATTGTCACGGTCCAAAACTAGGCGAAGGTAAGTGGGTGGTTAATCCGTGAATTGTGAGTTGTCCTAATGGCCTACAACAACCCACTTTACTTTGTAAAAAAAAAAAATCCCTAATTGTTTCTTTTTTATACTTGGATAATCATATTTTCTAATTGTACCATAAACTAACCATTGACTTTTAAAACCGTAAAACAAAAAAATTTGAACTACTACTATTGGTTGTTATGTTGGCTAATGTTCATTAAAAATTGTGATTCAAATTATAAAAAATTAATTGTATCAAGCTCATAATAAACGTTATTTTTATCTACAATTGGTTGATGGAATAATGAAATAATTAAGGTGTCATGATCTCTAAAAAGATATGATTAGTGACTTTCTTTTCGGGTAATTGATCAAAATGGTCTCGTAGGTTTGAGCCAGTAACAAATTGGTCACAAGCATTTAAAATGCAACAAAAAGGTCATATACGTATCATGATATAACAAAATAGTCATTTCATATTGTTGGGGATGCATACATTGCCTATGTGGGCTGGGCTGGAATGGCCCAAGAGGAGAGGCCGGAAGGGCGCCTAGTTACGGGGCTCGAACACATATATTTTTAGCCATATTTCCGCATACAAAATAACCAATTAGCTTGCTGGCACAATGCAAAATTATTAACAAATTATCAAACACCTAACCAACGTGTAAAATTACCTCGTTCCAAAGCAAACTAACTGACCATTTCGGGAAAAAAATATAGATGTAAAGACATTAAATAGTTGTTTTGTTATATCTTGATAGTTGTGTGACTTTTTTGTTACATTTTATACTTTTGTGACCATTTTGTTACTAACCCAAACCTATGTGATCATTTTGATCAATTACCCCTTTCTTTTCTTTATCAATGAGTATTACATTAAAATTGATTAATTTAAAGTTTGTATGAATAATAGAAACTTTGCATATGATGAGTACTGGTCACATCCACTGAACAAAGACAGTTAACTTATTGGTCATCTCATCACACAATTAATCAGAACACCTGAAAACCCATTACGCTTAGAGGATAAGACCTTCAAGAATTTCTAAAGAATGATGAAGAATCAACTCAATCGGAATTCTTGTTTCACATAACTAATTTGGAGTTAGTTAGTGGAGTTAGTGGAGTTAGTTAATTAGTTAGGCCTGTTTTGTTGTTAGCCTCACTTCAAGTAGCAATGAGATTGTATAGCTCAAGCCTAAATAAGCTCAATCTTGTACAGATTCACAACTTAACGAAAACAACAAGTTTTCATCCAAACCCTTTTCTCGGTTTCTGTTGAAAAATACAAATTCACAACTCAATGAAAGCAACAAGTTAACATGCAAACCAATTCATTAGTTTCTGTTGAACATACTGTTGTACAAATATAAGCATTCAATAATTTGGAACTTGCCTCCTTTCTTTTCTCCATGGCTGGGTTAGAGTGGGTGGAGAAGGATTTGGAGTCCATGCTTAGGACAGATTGTGAGCATGTGAACTGGTGCATGGACATAAGAAGGTGACAAGCTGAATCTGTATCGTCGGAGAATCATCGAGAGAGCGATCTTGATCTCTGCAGCTGCAAAGTTCAACCCCACACAAGTCCTTGGCCCAGACCCAAATGGTAAGAATGCTTTGGCCAAACCATGATCAGCAGCAAACCTCTCTGGCTTGAAAAGATGACAGTCTTCTCCCCACAGCAAAGGGTTATGGTGAATTGCTAAGATGGGTAGACTCAGTGCCATGTTTGCAGGAAAGATGTAGTTCCCCAGCTTGGTCTCCTTCTCAACTTCCCTTGTGAGGTTGAAAACTGGTGGATATAGCCTCAATGATTCATTCACAACCATTGCCATCTGCATAAAAAAAAAGCAGAACAAACAAATGTTCGAACGGTTTGTTAGTAAATGGTATAAGATACATAATTCAAGAACAACCATGGCTTACTTACCTGCTTCAATCTAGAGACACCATCAAGTGTGATTGGATTGTGTTGGTCAAGCAATTCTGTAACCTCTTTTCTAGCCTTGTCCTGCCAGTCTGTGTGGATTGCTAGGAGGAAAACTGTCCAGGTGAGAGAGCTTGTGATGGTTTCATGGCCACCAACATAGAATGCCTTGCACTCATCAACGACGTCGTCGATGGTTATCTTCCTGGACAAGTCACTGTCATGAAAAGCATTGAGAAGGGAACCAAGGAAGTCATCATCACTTCCATTGAAATGACCACCTCTTCCTTCCCTCTTCCTTATCAGCTCTATGATTGCTTCCTTAATTGCTTGCTCCAGTTTGTCTGATTCGATATCATCACTTGTTCTCCAGAGCTTACTGCAGAAAAAAAGAAGGAACAGATTACCCAGAAGAATGATTATGATTGTTGAAGCCTATATGTACTTACTCTAGCCCTGGAATGCTGCTGACTTTGAAGTTGTTTCTGTTGACTATGAGACCAAGCTTCGTCAACATATCAAAAACATTCTTGCCTTCCACATAACTACTCCCAAATGCTGTCCTGGAGATCACCTCTGATGTCAAAAGCTTGAATTCTTGAAATGCATCAACCTCTTTCACATCTCTCCATCTCTGAAGCATTACCTCCACACTATGAATCATTGCAGGAATCATAGCCTGAAAAACAAAACAAACCAAGAAAAGGGAAAAGAACCCATATCAAATTTATTGCCTGCTGCTACATAGCATGTGTTTGTTTTATCTAGTCAGCATCCACAGAGAGAGACCTTCAATGACCCGCCATGGAAAGCTTGGTTTGCAAGTTTCCTGGTCTTGACCCATTTCTCCCCTTGTGAAGACAGTATGCTATTCCCAAGAAACTTCTTGGCATAGCTCTGGATGAACTTCTTGGGATATGCTCCTTCTTTATTGCTCAGCACCTCTTTCACCAGCTCAGGATCAGTAATCACCAGCTGTGGCCTTGTTCCATACCAATTCAGAAAGTTCATCCCTTAATTAAATCATCAACAGATAAGAAAAACATGTGTGAGTTGACCTTTCTGAACACAACAACAAGAAGAAAGACAATCAAACCTCAAAAAGATTGAAACTTTACCATGAATCTTGGTCCATGAATAGACGTGAGGCATGATTCTGGGGAGCAGCTGGTGATGTGAAAGTAGCTCCATCGAGGTACCAAGAGCTTCATTTCTCATGTGATTGATCTCTTTGGTGTTCCCATGAAGGAATCTGTAAGGAGGGCCGTTGACTCCTTGGCGGCTCATGGAAGACTGAATCATGATGGGTTTCAGCCATGCTCTATTCAAGAAGCTGATGAGGCTCACAAGGGAAAGAAAAAGAGAACAAGGCAAGCAAAAGAAGAGGAAAAGGATGATCACTAATTCCATTTTGTTTTGCAGAGGTTCCTCTGATCTTCTTCTGACCAATCCGAACACTTATTGTAAGTGGCGGTGCTGAACATACACAGAAATCAAGAGTTTGGGGGAATGAGAACAGAAATATGGCATTTATTGGATGATGCAAGAGGTAATAAATGAATAGAGAATAGAACAAGTTATGATTTTTATATGTACAAGAATCTTAGCCGGATGAATATCTTAATTTTGTTTGATTGTTAAGTACGAGGATGTAGTCTTTGTTTAGTTACATTGTCACAATCCATAACTTATGGTAGAGAAGTGAATGGATGATACATGGTTTGATATTTGATCAATCTACAAATAATTCTAACTGTTGTGGGTGAATTATCTGTCAGTGAATTTCTTACGTGCACTTATTTGAGTGGCTGGCTGGATTGCGAGTCACTCGAATGATTCAAGATTCACTTTACATTACAAAGAGTTGTTTCTTTTTCATACTATCAAAGATTATCAATTTTCTAATTGTCCCACTCACAAACCATTGAATTCTAAAACCAGAAAACAAAGATTATGGTTACTATGTTGGCTAATGTACATTAGATATTGACATTCAAATTACAAACAATCAATTGTATCAAAGTCATAATAAACATTGTTTCTCTCTAATAATTGGTTGATGGATTGTTGAAATAATTCAGGTGTCATGAACTCTAGGCATATGTGGTTAGTAACTTTCTTTTCTCTCTCAACACCAATTGAAAAGTTTGTATGAGTAATAGAAAACTTTGCATGTCACAACTAGGAGAAAGATCCGTGGAAGGAAAAGTGCTTTTTAATTGCTGTAAACCTTCTAATTTGAGAGAAATTTATAGTAAATATTGCAATCCGTATAATGATTAGTTGCAGAATTGATTTTGTGAGTTAACCCACAACCCAACCGCACTCATCCGTCACCCAACAAATTCAACCTAAAACATGTGGGCGAATGACGGGTCACAACTATACGAACTCGTAAGTAAGCGGGTAAGTAATTTGAAATAGCCATCTAACAAAAGTACATGCCAATGGTATAACATTAATGAATTGGATGTGTTTGTGTTAATTGTCTTAGTCGCTTTGCAATTATCATTGGGTGAAAAAGTCATCCTCTTTGAGGTTTCATCCATCATCATATTCATAAGTTTTATCTAAATTTATTGTTCATACGTTGTTGTCTAGTTAATGAGCTTTCTTTTTTTGGCTTCTGAAATAACTTTCTCACGACTTCAGAAAAAAAATTCACTGGGTCGGTCAGCATCAGATATGGTATGGGCTGAATGAATCTGACAAACTTTGGCCTCGAAATGAAACAGGCAAAAAGAAGCATCCCATAGCAAAGTCCATTGAAGGCAAATAGCTGTCGGCCCAAAACTCTTGCACTTATAAGTCTATAAAAGGATCCATTAGTCTTCGAACCCACCCAAATTCATTCGTGTGAAGCCACCCATTAAGCTTTGGTTGGTCTTTGATGAAAGATTGTGGGCCAAAGAGTAGGTTAAACTCAATAAAGAATCCAAAGTAAATCAACCTCTCTCAGTTATTTGGAAAGCTGGATTCCTATTTAACACCTTAACTTTTTAAAATTGTCGCCCTAAATTAATCAAACAGACGATATTATCCCCACTTTCTAAAGTCGCCCTAATCCCGGTTTTTTGCTCTGCTGGCCGTCATCCGCCGCTCGAGAAAGAAATCATCGTCGTCGCCCTAGGAATCATCGCTGTCGATCGTCTGGAGGGGATTCCTCGCGGAGGCTGCTTCGCTGCTCGTTCCACTCTATTGACGCCGCCAAGCCCCTTGATGCGCCTCTCGCCCTAGAGATTCCTCGTGCGTCTGCTCTGCTGCTTGGTCCACCCCATCTCCGTCGTCAGGCCTGCCGCTGCGTCGATCGAGGACACAGGAGAGAGAAAAAAATCTCGCCCCCACCAACCACCTCTGCTACTGCTGGGTTCTGCTCCCCGGGGTTCAATCGTTTGTCAATCGAACGGCGGCGACGGGGGAAGAGCTAGAGGGTTCGGGACTGGCCTTCTCGCTCCTTCCTCAACCGGTGGGCGGCGATGGGCGGAGCAGCAACAGACATGGAGAAGAGCTGCTTCGTGATCCGGAGATTTAGAATTTCACCGGTGGATTGGCGAAGTGCGGAGCAAAATTAGGGATTAGGGCGGAGTATTTTGGGAATTGGGGGCAAAAATGTCAAATTACCTCTGTTAGGGCGATAAATTTAAAAAAGTTAGGGCGTTAATTAGTACCATAAAAATAGATGTTCCAATTTGGAACTTGTGAGAAAAAGTTGTTTTAAAAATAATAGCGAACAAGAGTTTGGCCTAATCTGAATACCGTTAGTTTTGAACTTGGAAGTCTCGTACTCGAATCCTTTCAGTAACACCTAACTAAAACAACAATCTATGTCACCTTTTAACAAAAGACGAATAAAGGTTTGGTTTAGTGATAATACCTCTAGTCTTGAACCTGATGTCTCAGATTCGAATATCTTAAATAGTACCTAACAAAAAAAAAACAGAATGATATAACTCTTGTAAAAAAATACATTAATAAGTAATAGTATTTAATATAAACGAATGATCCATCTTGATTTTTTTTTCTTAATTTCATTCACATTTTATATTAGAAATAATTTTTAGTCATTTTATATAAACTCCGACTCTGATATTCAAAAGCACTTCTGACTAATAGTTTATCAGTAAACACTCAACTGCTTATTTGAAAAATACTTCTCTAAAAGCTACAGTTAGAAGCCCACAATGATTTGGTCTATTGGTAATAGTAATACCTTTAGTTTTTAACATGGAGCTCCAACGTTCGAATCTTTCAGTAGCAACTAATTATAAAATCCATCCTTATCCTAAAACCTATAGCTAAAAGCTGGTTTGCAAAAGTTACAACAATGTTAAACTAGCTATTACCTTGGGTTTTATCGGTTTCTTATTGATTTCTCACTTTTAAACTAAACCAAAATCACGAAAATGTCGATTTTAAAATCGAAACCATAATCTTAAAATAATCATTTGAGTGTAAAACAAAGCGTTCTTCTCTTCTTATCAATATTATTGGATTTTTCCAAACTTAGGAATTACAGAGAGTATTGATATATATAAGCTTTCGTCTCATCTTGTCATCGTAAAGCATAGAAACATATATTATTGATGCTGCCGCATCGGCACACGTTACGTGAGTGCTTTCCCTTCTCGACCGACACCTCCCTCGTTTTTTCCACTCGATCACTTGTAGCAAGCGTCTCACACGCTCGCAGCATCTAGCGCCAAATCTATTCCACTACTTCCTCACACTGTTCGTATCGACGACCAATGACCATGGCAAGGAATTATAATATTGTGTCTCACTAATATTAAACTAACAGGTCTCGATAACTTAAATTGTACAGAAAAGTTCATGTTACCAGTTCATGTGTTTGAAGTTTTCATAGTCCGATGTACAATGTGTTTTAAGGCGACGGTTAATATTAAAAGTCTTGAGGACTTGTATGCATAATCTCAGTGACAAGTCAATTCTGATATCATGTCATAAACCAACTAAACCTAGTAATGCAAGTTTTTTTTTTATGAATGATGAGAATATTATTAGAAACCAACCAATCCATGAAAGTACAAAGGTAAAAAAATAAAAAGTCAGCAGGTCGACCAGTAGTAGAGCAAGCAAGCAATGAAAAAAAAAAAAAACAAAATTAAGCAATAGAAAAACAACCAACTCGAGAATAAAAAGAAGAAAGAATGTGAGGGTCAAATGAGGTGCTTCGTCCCGGTCTCCATCCACTAGTGAAAGCGTCTATCCGAGATGCGACTGAAAGCTCGTAACCATCGTCCAACCATAAGAACAATCTTCTGTCCAATCTCTTTTGGGGAGCACTCCACATCCCCTGAAAATCCTATTGTTTCTCTCCAACCAGATGTACCAACACACTGCATGGGGCAATATAACTTGATGCAGTCTCTGAACCGTGGGTCGCACCACAAGCCTCGCCAAGCAATGAGGAATTGGCGAATGAAAGGAAGGTAAGGACCATGAAGATCAAAGCTAACGTAGGTAAAGGCGTATGCTAACATTACCTTGTACGTCCGTCGTGTTTCGCTATTCATACCATGAAACTAACAAGAGTTTCGGACATGGTACTATATATTCACAATCTCTAATGGGTGAATTCCACTTCTTCCTACCTCTCTAATTCAAAACACAAGAATCATTTAATTTAAAAATAATTATCGACAATTCTGATTGGTAGCTAGTAAATGCATACTTCGAGAAGGAGGAGAGAAAAAAAAACTATATATATATATATATATATATGCTATTTCATAGCTAGCTTTTTTTCATTCAACCGATTCATACATCATTGAGAGAAAGAAATGGCTAAGAACAATCGCTTGGTGATGGCGATCCCACTTCTCATCATCACTATAACGACCTCCGCTGCTGCTGTTCAAAGCTATGATCCAATGTGCACGGAAAGTAGCAGCGGCGGCGGTACTAATAACCGAGAAAAAAACTATTTTCTTTCTTATGCATAATTTTGATATATTAAATTCAAGTGAATGGCAAGAGACACAAAGTTAGAGGTTTAGAGCAACCTAACTTCCATGATAATGTTATATAACATTAACATAATTTTATATGAAGATGCTATCGTATCTATCTTTGGCGGGTGTGATATATGAATGAAGAAGGGATATGATATTTTGAAAATTTAAGGTGGAAACTTAGGTGTTATTAGGGAGTAGGGAGAGTGATCATGTGTGAGAGAGAGAAACGTAGAGAGAGGTGAGTGATTCCGGTGAGCGAGGTTTTCCGATCTCGAGCTCGCTGCCAGCTCCGACACCTGCGCCGGAGCAGCTCTCTTCCCCTCTGTTGCTTTTCTTATGAGTGAGGCGAGCGTTGCGATTGCAGATTCTGCTTCGGGGGTGCCAAATGGTGACAATCGGGGGATTCCAACGAAACCCTGGGCGGCGCTATTTGGC